TATAATTAAACTTCTGCGTGATTTTCAAAGATCTATTAGTATTTTTTGAAATCCACTGATTGACAATTTGATCATACATGACATCATGTAGTGACATGGCTTCTTTCGAGCAATAAAAACCGCAGCTCTCTATCTTGTATCTATCAAAATTAATTCGCAATCAAAGATTGCCAAGTGACTTTTCGGACACTCAACATAGGACAAAAAAAAGAACATAGTAGGTCATATATAACCTGCACTGTTCTGTAGATATGATAAACATTTCTATGTTATGAATTCAAGGAATAAACAGAGATCATGGTGTGAATGAAGCAATAGTAAATAGAAAATCGATACATATACAGAATAGATCCTATAAAAATTTTTATTTATAATGACCATCCAAAAAGTTTTGTCCAACAAAAAGTGACTACTTCGAATATTTATCGGTTCAGTTTCACTATAACTCAACAACGAAATTTTGTGTGGATATAATATAGATCTTGACTGCACTATTGACACAAATCGCGCCTCAAAAGACATACTGATGGCGAAGTTATACTTAAAACAAAAACGTCCGAAAAATGTTGTCCTGATCTCGACAGACCAAAAGGTTTACTCTTTTGTTGAGAGTATCAGAACTCAAGCCATCTGATGAGACTCTATGTCAGTGAAGTTGAAACTGGTCATGGTAGCTCTTGGTTACCGTTACTCTTTTGGGGGCGCGCTACTTTTCTCGTCCATCGTTTTGAATTTGTGTGAGAATGATCATTTCAGTTGTTTTAGTCTTTTATTCTTTATTAAAACGAAGTTATTCTGCCGAGATCAAACTTAGCTTGATGTATTCGAAGTCCATGTTGGATTATTGTTTCTATCATAGATCACTAGATTGCCATCGTTCTGCATGATTAAACGATGGGGTCGAAGGCCGATCATATCCGTATTACTAGCCCAGACAGGTCGGGAATACGCATCATGTACAACCACATTACCGTCGGTCTGCATAATTAAATAATACGGTGCAACAAAGTGACCTTCGTTAGGTGGACCCGAGCACCAGATCGCCGTTTTTGGGACGTTGTAGTCAGAATAGTAGAGCACGAGTTTACCATCACGGTGGAAGACCAGTTGATATTTATTGTTGACCGAAGTAAGTTGTACACCTTGTACTAATCGTTGATCGGCTCGAAGTGTGTCCCCCATTGATGGTCTGAAAAAGTTCTCCTGATTGTCGTGTTCACGACAATGACGGTGCGCCTTCTGTGATGGATAAGATTGTATCTCTACAATAGTAAGTATAATGCATAACACGGAACGGTACTTTCTTCACTTTTACCTTGAATAAAAACGACAACTAGCAGAGCAGACAATAGTACTAACAAGGTAGCCTTCAACATTCTTCGATAGTGTTTTTTGAAGAAGTATTTCTCTCACAAGGTGCTAGAAGCATCCTTTATATAATGATGTGCGTGTGAAGAAAAAAAATAGGCTCTTTTTGATTCTTCGAATACTGACATACGATATCATAGTATTTTTAATGCTTCGTAATAGTGATCATGGTATTGCATTTTTTTAATGCTTTGTAATTGTGATGACTATATTTGCCAACGACTTTATTGTGAAGACTATCAAGCAGAAAAGGCGTCACGACGGTCAAAATAGAAGTGCACCTATTTTCATTTATACTCTCCCAATCAGTCTGTTTGCAACTAATCCTCAAATGCGAAATGAAGCATATTTTTGTTGACATCCATTGATTGATCATCTAGCAGTGTCATTTTCAATAGAAATATTTCTTTGTGTCACAAAAGCTTCTTCACTGGTTGAATCTGCGGGTTGCGTCTAAAACGGGCAACTCGGACTATGAACGCCATTCGGAGGTCTAATCCGAAAACGGGGCGCGGGTCGGATCAACACGGGTTTATCTCCACAGCTCTGTTTCCCATCATTATCATCGTCAGAACGATTCATGTTGAGTCATCATTGAAACATCTCCATAACGGCAGTTCATCGCTTCTATCTGATTTTACCTGAGGGTGTGGGTGTGAGTGTGGGTTGAAGAGAATATCGACATCAGCATCCACGCTCACACCCACATCTTCAAACAGAATGTCCAGATTACAATTCATTGTAGTATGAAATATTTCCAGATAAGACAAATGGAAACAGGTCTGTTTGGAGCTCATTGTCTTCTCTGTTTTTCTAAACCAACTGAATGGAAAGATATACAAAAAATTGAGTCAGGTTTCCCTATTGAAAGAACTACTAAAAGTACACTTGAAATTTATGAAAAAAATGTTGAATGAATATGGTGAGATAAAGAAATCAGAAAAATGATTATGATGCATGACAAAGTTTAACATGAAAACCCTTGAGTGAAGATGATTAACACTTCATCACTAAAACTTATCAATATATAAATTTAACTAATTGGGTCTTGAAAATCATGTATCATATGACAGCCAACATTTTACGTTGGGCCGAAACAAATAAAGAAAATATCAAAGGAAACAATTTTTCAAGGGTGTGGGTGTGGGTGTGGGTGTGAGTATGGTTCTTCTCTTCATTCGCACCCACACCGACACCACACATCCACTTACACTCGCAGCACACATTTTCACTTAAGTTATTCATTCAAACTTTCCTAATACTCATACAATTCTGTCACTTTTTTTCTCACTGTCTTTCTATATTTTTATTTGTGTTTCGATTTAACTCAATCTGTCTTTCTGACATTATCCTTTTCTACATTCACTATACAAACACAACTGAAGATATTTTTATAGATAAATAAACGACAACAAGCATTTTCAAGGGGATTTCTTAATATTTATCGAAAAGAGATTGTCCCAATTATAGTGATCATCAGTATAAAAAAATCAATCTCAACTTATTGTTACATTAAAGATAATAATAATACACTATATTTTATTCTCCATTGTATTTATTTGATTGATATGTATCAAGACAGCATTGATTCCAGTATTGAAAATATTATTGTGTGTATAAGAATTGGTTATGCATTCATGACTACGTAAATTTAAGATACATCTATGCTTCAATTGAAAATGAGTAGATGACGTTCATCGAAATCATTAAAAAGTACATGTGATAATGGATATAATGATTTTATTGAAGGAGATGAAGGATTATTCATATTATTAGCTGCATCTTAACATTTAAATAATTCACTTCATGGTGGAGATGATGTTTTCGTTCAGATATGAAATTAATAATTGATCATAAAAATCATCCATTATGGGTTACACCAGATGGTCACATTTTTTTTCTTGAATCATTTCCATCAGCTTATAAACAAGCTCATGTTTTTATAATAACTATTGCGGATCCTATTAGTCAACCAGAATATATACAAGAATATAAATTATCAGCATGTTCACTCTATGCTACTGTATCGATTAGTATACAAACCAATCATATTATTTGGATTTATTAAAATATGTACATTAAGTTATGGAAAATTAAAATTAGTATTAAAACATAATTGATATTGTATTGAAAGTCATTTTCCTAATGTTTTAAAAACTCTTCTACAAGATTCACAAACTCAAAATATCGATTCATAACAACAGATAATATTCTTAACATAAATACAATAACAGAAAAAGTTCAAGATTTCATTTGTAAAATAATTCTGAGAAAAGAAAAGAAAACAATAAATGAACAAATATCTAATAATATTCGATAGTTATATGAAAAAATTAATCATGATAATGAAGATTTAAAAAAAGTCTCATTTGAAATTCTTCCAAATAAAATTAAACGTTTACGTAAACGATGTCAACAATTCGAATATCCATTACTGGATGAATATAATTTTCATTGTAATAGAATATTTACAAGTTTGAACAGTGAACTTCGATCAAGTTTAAGAAATATGTTTGCTAATAGATATGCCTGGTCTGGCTTGATTGTTCTGCCATGTGGTGTTAGTAAGTCTTTAATTGGTGTTACATCTGCTTGTACAATAAATAAAAGAAACTAATTGGATAGAATTACTAAATTTAGATCATATTGCTGAAATTAAATGTGACGAAGCATGGTATCGAACAACACTAGAATTTTTAAAAAAATATTTTTCAATTAAAAATGATCAATTTCGACGTTTACTTTTATGTATGATGAATCTAAATAAGTTTTCGTGCATGTCAATATTTAATATGTTATCCTAAACAAAGTGATAATAAAAAATAATTGGTTTTTTTCTGATATGATGTTCGTCTTATACACTTATGCAAATTTTACATGATCTTCAACATGATACAAATATAAAAACAATTATTCTTTCCCAAGTTGTTGATACATCATTTGATTTATTTGCTGCTAATGTATTAACATAAATTTCAACTCATGGAGTATTAAGAAGACAACCAGCACAACCAATTGGTCGTATTTTACGACCTAAACAGAATGCTCATATTCAAAAATAGAATAGTTCTTTTTTCTTTTATTCATTTATTTCTCAAGATAGTGTTCAAAATGTTTTATTCAGTTACATGACAAGGTTTTCTTATTAATCAAGGTTATTCATGCAACGTCATACCAGGAAAAACAGATCTACATGAATATAAAGAAAAAATCATCAAACATATCGTACCATCGATGACTTCTATTCTAGAGTGTGTTAAAACATCAAATAAAGTGAAATATGAACTCTTTAAAATATATTGAAAATGATTTTCCTAATGTACATTATTAGGAGTGGTACTTTATTTTAACTTTATAAAATAAAGGTAAATAAATCCTTTACTTTTAAAAAATAAAGATAAGTGAATCATTTATCTTTTAAAAATAAAGACAAATTAAAGGAATAAGGAATTTTTCTTTTTTGAGAGACAATGATGTTGGAAGAGTTCTACAACCAGAGAATTCATGTTCAGCAAGACTTTTATCATAAAATAAATGTATTTATACCGAAAACAAGCTAGTTGAGATATACTATGATTTACTGTTCTTTCTCTAATATTTAGCAGATTTCGATTAGAAAAGTGAAGATTGAATCGAAGCAAATATCATATTCTGAATCAGCATTAAAAATGGAGCTGATCTATGAATATTTCAAAAGTTTTTAAGATCTTTTTCTTCATCAAAAAATTTTCCCGTACTCCCTCCCAGGAAGATTAAGTCAAAAAATGAATTTTACCCAAAATTAGTTTCCGCAATGGCAAACAAGTTCTCTAATTGTAAAATGATAATACAACACAAAATGGGCAATATTTAGACGACAAGAACATCGTTTTCATGGGTTTCATTTTTGCAACTCCACCATCCTGAAGGGGGGTACAGGAAATTTTTTCGATGAAAAAAAAGATACTAAAAATTTTTGAAATATTCATAGATCAGTTCTATTTTTAATGCTGATTCAGAATATGATATTTGTTTTGATTCAATCTTCACTTTTCTAATCCAAGTCTGCTAAATATTGGAGAAAAAACAGTAAATCATAGTATATCTCAACTAGCTTGTTGTTGGTATAAATGCATTTATTTTATGATAAAAATCTTTCTGAACATGAATCTTTATGTTCTAAAAATAACGAATTCATTTATTTATGTCACTCCTATACCTTATTGTAGTAAAAAAAAATAAAGACATCAACTTTATGTTGAATTTTTATTTTTCTTTGCGAAAAATACAGCGAAAATTCTAGAATATACACTTTCGCTTGCATCATTTTTTTCTAAAAATTGCAATTGTTTTTTTGACAGGCCAGTGTCGCCACCAAGCCACATTTTAGGTTGAGATAAGCTACACACACAAAATCACCATTGTGTTAAAATTGCACAAATCTTCTAAAAAGATATACGCGCTTGAATATTTTATCGTTCGATAAAAAAATACTGAAAGTAAATATGTAATGATTATTCTAATTTTAGTATGAAATGAGTCGAATTATATGACGAATAATAAGATATTAAAAATGAAATAAATAAGTACCGAGTAGCTTGGATTTTTCTTTTTGTCAAATTTATACTGCCGAAATTGAAGGATACCCAATTCATAATAAATAAATGAAGAAAATCTAACAAATTCTATCTTTTCTTATTTATTGTCTAAATCAAAAGTTGAATAAATGTCGTTTTCTGATTTAAAAGAATTTTCCTAACACAATTTTTTATTAAAAATCAACGGATTACCAAGAATCGTGTTTTTGTTTTTATTCTTATGAATAATATAAAATTCGTTACATCGAATTTCTTTGAGTCTGTAATAGGATTATTCATGACTATTTTAAACACATATATAACAAGTCTGTGCAGAGCGTGTTTGCTTTACTTTTAATAACTTAGTATCTATTTTCTTAGATAGTGGTTAATTCGGAGTACTGTTGTCTTTTCTCTCTCATGTTGTTATCCCCTCACATTAAATATATATTGTATCAGGTGAATATTCAAATGCAATATCATCAGTTATTGTTAGAATTTTTTTAATTAATTCATATTCATTTAATTTCCTTTGAAATTTTTTGTTTTTAATAATGTTTATCAATGTATGTAATAACAAACAAAAACAATTTATCAGCAAAATATCAAAACCAAACAAAGAAAGATTTTTAAAGTGTTTTTTTTTGTCTTATTGTGTGATAGCGAGATAGAATAATAATAAAAAGATATCATCTTGGAAAAAATCAGATGACTTGCATGTTAATCGGGAATTTCATTCTCGAAAATAAATATATCGATCGTTGAAAAAATATGGACCCTCTTACACATAGATAATATCAGATCAATAAAACAGATGATACAAAAATGTTTATTACGCCAAGTTTCTTCAGAACATAACTTGCATTTAGTGAAAAACAAATTTATTAAATATAATTAGTTTAGTGTTACAAAACAATAGGAATATACTATTCTTTCAGTGAAATTTAATTTGTTTCTGTTTTTTCACCTGATGTTTTCATCTTTCTGCTCTATAAACGATTGATATGTATGAGCTAGTTTTAATATGGCATAAGCAACTGTGTGAGAAAAAAAGACAAAAATAACTATGATATTGGTACAAATCATCAAATGTTTTTCAGGATTGTAGAATACAAATCCCATTAGAAAAAACTTTGAAAATATTTCAAATACGTTACTGCATTTATACTTTTAGTATTTGATGCTGATTTCAACTACCATTGTGTTACATAATTCTAAAATGTTTTGCTTCTCTTGAGTCCTATTTCTTCTTGAGTTCTTCTGTTTTTCTGATTTGACTCAGTATTTATAAAAAGAGTCTGTTTTAGACATTATTATATAGATTAATTTATGTTCGAATTAGATTTCATCTTTAAATGTATTTTTTGGTATTTTGGAAATTTATTCTGAAAATGGACAGTAATCGAGATTTTTCTTATAAAATTTGTTTCTTGCTAAGAAAAAAACCAGTCAATATTCATTATCGAGTAGGCAAGGACCTTCACAGTTATTCGGTCTGCGATCATATACGTATGTTACGTAACACATGTAGTATTTTTATTTGCTGCTTTTTTTTTCTTTTAGAATAGATTGTGACTGAATTAAAACAATCGATGATCAAATAATAGTTCAGATCATAATTCTTAGTCTCTAATTCAGGCTACAACATGAACGATAAAATTTACGATTAGCTAATAGCAAGCAGTAGAAACGTTTTTACATATCATATGACTTTGAATGGATCTTTTTCATTTATTGAATTATTCTTTCAGAAATATATAATTCTAGATATTTTTGTGTATTTTTCAAAATTAAACGATTTAACGATTAAGTATGTCCATTTCATTTCACGTTTTTTGATTAGAATTATGTCTCATGAACATGCGTAGAAAAATGAAAGATGAACATAAGAAAGAAAATAAAATAAAACAATGATTAAGAGGTTTTTCTTGTTGTTTTCTAAAGGAATTTGGTTATTTATGAAGTTTTTTAGCTTTCATTTTGATATTGATTTTCTTTGACACTTAACATAGTGGCTATTTTTTTTATAAATTTATCATCTTGCTGTATTTTATTCATTGATTATAAGACTAAAGAATATTAAAATAATTCATAGATTTCTTTCCGAAAATAATACTCTCAAACATGTCACTCAAATTCTATTCTTTAGGGAACATATCAATATATTAGATATCTTTTATATGATATTAATATTCTAAAAATATATCATTAGTAACAGTTAGTGAAGTGAATATTTGATTAAATTTTCACCGATGTATTTTCTATTCTCAACAGCATATTTTGAAAAAAGATTTTTCAACAAGAATGGTAAAAATTTCTTATTCTCTCTTTTCTTTTCTTCCATCACTAAGGACTATTTTCTTCGTTTAGAAACAACGTTTTTAATGTTTATTTTTTCTATCTTAACTATGTTATGTTACATATACATGCAAAGATATAATTGTTCAAATATAGTGATGCTGACAAACCAAAATCTTTTAGGAGTACTTCTTAAAAAAATTCTGTAAAAAAGAAAAGAAACTTAAAATATTCAAAAATGAATAGTCGTAAATAGAAAATGAAACATAATTCAAGAATCAGATACTTAAAGCAATATCTATGGCATTATAATGAATCGAGCTTTATTTGATTTCTTTAGAAAATCAATTTACATTTATGTCAATTGCACTGTTGAAGTCAAGATTTTAAGATTTTACGTTAATTATTTACAATCAATATTGTTTTTTTATTTCTATCGATTATCGGTGGTCTTGTTGGATGAGATAGAACATAATCATGTGAATGATTAAATATGCAGCTGTTCATATTTCTTATTTTACATGAACTAGGGTTCTAAGAACGTTTTGAATTTGTTCTGAAGAGAGCCTAAGTCTGTCAAAAACTCGGAATAGGTCAGTTTGAGCACTGATCGATCAGTTTTTGATAGCTGTTTTTTTAATCGAATTATTACCGTATCATAAATTCTTAAAGAATTCATTTTTTTTTTCTTTATTATTCTCTGTAGTTGGCACACCATCACAATAAAAAAGAAAACTTTTTAAAAAAATGTTTTTTTTTCGTTTGTTTTTGATATTTTACCGATAAATTATTTTTGTTGTTTGTTACATGAAGAGACAAACATTATCAATAACTACTCATTTCCGATAAAGTTAGAAACATATCCATTAATTAAAAAATGTTTAATAATAACAAATGACACTTGTTTGAACATATCATGTGATTTTATTTATATTTAACGAGAAAAGAACACGATGTAAGAGGGGAAAAGAGAAGAATACTTACGTAAGTGGGCCAATAACGCGACATAGGTTCGATTCCTGTGTGAAATGTTTGTTTTTTTATATTCTTCTTTATTTCTTTTTTGTGTTGATTTTTCTTGAATCTTTTTGTTTTGTTTATGGCGAGAGGCATTCTTTTGAAATCTCAAAGCAAGGGAAATAATTGACCATGGTAATTACGAATATACTATTTTCATTCATATAGAGGTCAACCACCGCAGGTCTATTTCAGGTGACAGGAATCGAACGAATCACGTGAAAAATTCTTCTTTTGTGTGGAGATTTAGCCTTATAATATGATCAGACATCGTTTGAATTGCCATGAGATCTGGTTTTAATCTTTACATAAAAGGAAAACTAGTATTTAATACAAGTCCTAAATGTTATATTTTATGCATACTAAACTTCTTGGTGCTTATGTGAATTTAGAAATCTCAACAGAACTTTCTTGATTGAAATTTTCGGAGTCCGTCATCAGACCGAAGATGTAAATGACTACGTAGTTATCAATACTACGTAATAACATGTTTTTAAAATGACATTAGTAGCTGAATGAAAGAGAGAAATACTCATAAGAGGTTGTTTATATACATCTATAAAAATTTTCTATTTTTTTTCAAACATTTTTCACGAGAGAATTACGTTGACATAGTATAAACGCTCTATTTTCATTTTGTCAATACCCATAAGATGTAGATTTTATCTGAATCCGCATAAAAACATCAAAACAATTCACATTCCTTATTTATCTGGTGAAGATTCCTACTAAAATGCTTCGTTTTGTTATTTTTTCTATACACATCATGGCATTGTCAATAGCACTCAAACTGAAAGATTCTATAGTCTTGCTCAACAATATTTTCATTATTTTCTTTATTTCTCTTAGAAGCTTTTTGTAGTTTTAGTCGACTATTTGATAAAAATAAGTCATCAACAAAAGTAATACACATATTCTGATTGGTAGTTTTTGCAGGTATCGAACTTCAAATAAATATTAATATTAATATAAAACACTCACTAAATACTCGATTTAATGAAAAATTTACTGTATATATTTTGAACAAGTTCGTTTCTTTTTATCAATTTCTATTCCAAGAAGTTTCATAGACATAAGTTTTAAATCTTTGAATCCAACACGTTAATCTTTAGCATGAGATTTTTTTATGAGAACTTGATCTTTGTAATTGAAGTAGTTGGTGAAAGAAACTATGCTGTTATATACAAAGCAAGATCCACAAACAAATGATAACGTTGCAGTGAGAAAAAGATTAAAATCGGTAGCCAAGAAGTAGCATCCGATGGAATTAATTTAACTGCTTTAAGAGAAATTAAACATCCACATGTTGCCGAATTACTCGAGTCATTTGAAGAATGTTTCAAATAGTTCAAGAATTTGTTTAGTATTTGAATTTATGAATACTGTTCTTGAAAATATTATTAATAATAATTTGCATAATAATTGGATACTTCATCGAGATTTGAAACCAATCAATTCATTAATTGATAAACGTGATGTTTTAAAAATAACTAATTTTGGTTTAGTAAACTTTTTCGGTTCACCATCAGGATTAATGTCACATGACATTGTTACAAGATAGCATCGATCACCTGAATTACTTTTGGGTACAATAAAATTTGGTACTGATGTCGATATATGGGCAGTCGGTTTAATTATGCCTGAATTGCCACATTGAGTATCATTATTACCCGGTGATTCTGATCTTGATCAATTATTAAAAATATTTCAAGTGTTTGGAACACCAACCGATAGTAATTGACCGGATTTCAAAACATTTTCAAATAATATTGACTTTGAACAAATGGCATCTAAGCCGCCACGAACAATATTTACAACATCAAAATGAGATGAACTTGATGTATTAGGAAGAATTATGCAATTCGATCCAAAATGACGACCAAATGCAAGCGAAACTCTTCAAATAGAATATTTTAGTAATCCATCTGCTCCATGTCCAAGTGACCGTTTACCTAAACCAAAAGAAAATCAACCAACTGAAAATAATAAATGTAAATTAGGAAATGATGAAAAAGTGACTGTCAAAAAAAAGAACGCGCATAGTTATTCAATTATATGATTGTTTTTCCATTTCAATATGAATATTATTTTATAAATAAAATGTGACTATTATAAAAGAAAAAAGTCTGATCAAATACAAGTTCCGATGACGAATACGTGCGGGTGCATGGCAATATCGACCTGTCAGAGCAACATATTTTGAGTTAAAAACAATATAAAAAAGGACGGAAACATGAATGTTGATGCGTATATACAAAGACAAAAATTACTTTGTAGCACATATATGAATGAGTTGTTTCTTGAATAATTTGAAACTATATTGACAACATCCTAAATGTTTTGTTTCACAGCTTGAGCAACATGTCAACAAAAGCTTTATAGATACGATTGCAGCGTCCAATGCTAGAATTAATATCACGTACATTTGTAGAATGAAAATTGGCAGAGTACGTTTTGCATTGGTATATAAAACTCCATACTGATAGAGAATATTCCAACAAATTGATTTGTTATTTTTTTGAATAATTTTTCAGCTCTGTTGCAATCTGCACTTTTCTTGAGTTTTTTTTTTGAAATAGACAAAACTTAAAAAAATTTACAAGACAAAAACATTAAGCGTTTGAAAATTATTTAACAATAAGTTGAATTGTGCTGTAAAGATAGAATGGTATGATTCATTATAGAAAAGCATTGTTATTATAATACTGTGCTTCTCATGTAAAAAGCAAAATTTACACATATTTGTCTAGTTATAGAAACATTCTATCTAGAAGATTCAATTCATTGTTAAGAAAGCAATCTCAAAAATAATGAAATAGAAAAATTATTCAGATATACACTATATATAATAAATATGATACATTGTTCTAGTTTGAATATTTTAATACTAATAAAAATTCAGTAATGACTCAAGCTAATTTATAGATCGACCCAAGATTTGAATATTCAGAAACATTATCGGAAAATTTCATTTGATAATACAATTTCCTAATTGAACTATTCACTTTTTCAAATAAAAGATCGATCAATAACATAAAAGGAGAAGATTTAAAAAACCAAATAGATATGAGTGTGGATATCATATTACAGAAGTAGATAACTTTTTTGTTTTTTGGTGACACAATTATTTTTGTGTACTGATGTAGAGATGTTTTGATTGTGAAACTTTTCCTTTTTTGTTGAGGAAAGATATATGAAATGTGTTAAGACGAACTCTATACAAACGTTCGAGTTTCAGAAAACTTAGTCATTTCATCATAGTTTCTTTTTTATTGTATTACTGCATACATTTCAACAATATTTTATTTCATTTCTAGGGCACAATTATTGAATATTTGATGAAATTTTGGATATAGTTATTTTATTACAGGAATATGAATACATTAAATGAGAGATGAAAGCATTTGAAAAAACGTTTCTAAGAGAATTTCTTAGAAGTAATTCTAGCATTCCAAACTGCACTTAATTCTCATATCAACTGTGATAAATATTATTATTTTCAATGTTAATTACAGTCTACTTTAAACAAGAAATTTGAATGATTCGCAGATGCTATCTGTTCAAATCTAGTCTACCTTAGCAAGTTTTGAATAAAAAGAAGTATTACTTGTAGCTTTAGGCTTAATCAACTCGTTGACAGCAACGTCCCTAAAATTGCTTTTTCAATGTTTGAATAAAAGATGAATCTGAAATCTAGTGAAACAGGTCTTTACAAAATTAGTTGTATTTTAAATAGTTGTCTCTTGTAACAGCATTACATCTCTAAATAAAACTTGATACCTTTTTCACTATGCTAAGGGTATGACAACTATGTAAAGACAATCTCTATACAAACAAACCGATTTCAGCATTCGGTTGTGAATAATTCGCCAATCACTGGATGACGTATGAATGATATAGAGCTGTGCCTTATGCTATCGACGATTCTATTTCACGATATTATTTTCAGTACTTATGATAGGATGCTAGAATAATATTCTTGAGATAAATCTAGTTTCAAGCAGTTTTACATTTTTCTACTAAAGTTCAAGTATTTATTCTACAGATAACACGTATGTATATCACTAAGAGAGAAATAAATGCATTTGTGAATGTTAAGTTAAAAATAACAAATTAATCGCTATCCATTCATATCATTCAAGTAGTACTTTTTGAAACTTTTTAGAATGCTTCTTCTCTTAGGAATTGATAATAAAGAAAATAATATCAGAGAATGAGCTTAATAATAACAAACAAAGACAAACAATTGTTATAAATGGAAGAAGTTAGGTAAACAAATACTATCCATTCGTGCACAGTTCATCGTCATTATAACTTGAGAGTTCTGTATATTTTGGTAATATGTGGGAAAATATGAATATGGGAATGTTAAAAAACTGAGAATATCGTTTTTGAATGGGTTCAAATGCTTTACAGTTTTTAAGGTTAATGCCATAGTGTACTATCAGTTCTCTTCGATTTGAAAGTCAGTGTTGACCAAAAAAGAGAGACTCTTTCGAGCGGATTTTTGGCACATGATGAAGATCATCTAAGTTCACACAGATCTATATCAAGGATCGACTCGACACTAGAGTGTCATCGAGTTGTGTTCATTCTTGTTTCTTTCGAGAAACGAGAATCGTAAAATCATTCCGAAAACGAATGAAAAATTTTTTACATGTCATAATAACTCATAAGAGTAAGAACCTATAATTTTAAATCTGTGAATAAGAAACTAATTATCTAGATCACAAATATGTATAGTCATCGATTGATTTAAATAATACTTTCACATTTTGTCTCAAAAAAGTTTACAGATTAGTTATAATCAAAGATCTATCTTTCAAGTGAATCAAACAGATGAAAAATAAAGCAACAAGTCTTTTCTCATGTGAAAGTTGGACAGAACTTAGGTTTGAACTAGTTGATTCTTTCCTAATCCGATCTCGTTCTAGAAACGCGAACATCCATGTTATTTTCACTTCATAAATTCTTTGAATGTTTTTCCTTTCATATGCATGACACGAAAATGATAGATTTGTGAAGTATAAAGCGACACAAATCCAAGAAATATTCATTTTATCATCGATGAACTTTTGCCATTTTCAAATTTATTCATGTCACAAGAAGGGTATGGGTGTGGGTGGGTGTGGATTTGATCTGCATTACACAGAGCCACACCCACGCCCACACACCCACACCCACACCCACCTACACCCCACACCCACGCCCACACCCCACACCCACACCCACTTGATCGCCAAATTTCAAATACTATTGTGAAATTTCGTTTATGAAGCTTGTTTTTTTTTATAATACATACACAATATTTATTTCTTAAAAGAAAAAATTTTTTTCTAATTTCGAGTTTTGTCTCAGACATACAATATCAAATACACTTACGAGGCAATTACCTCAGCTGACACCCGTCGTTTGAGTTCGTATAGGACTCACATCTAAAATGGTTTGCCTTTATCGATCAATTTAGTAAATTTTCGATTCATTTGTCGGTAGTTTCAAAAAACATCAAAGGATAGAATTTCAATCTAAAACTTTCGTCTAATGACGATTAGAATATCCTAAAATTTTCAGAATCTTCTTAGAGTCATTAGGCTTATCTATAGTTATTCAGTATTCCTGAGAGTATCTAACAATGGACATTATAAATCCAGTAAATTGGTGATAGCTCGGCGTCAAAGATCAATGAAGACGAACTCTTTTAGACTTTTGCTATTTTCACGGAGATCTGCCGGTGGGCCCGATGAGAACTCAAATGGTGGGTATCAGTTGGAGTAATTCCCTCGTTAGTGCAGTACATAATTAAAGTAATGATGTAAAAAAGAAAAAAAGCTTTATATCTAATTTACTCAGTAAGAAAAAGCTAATAATAATCAATAAATAAATAGAGAGTAAGAAAAAAAAGCAATCAAAATGTCGTCCATTTAGGAAGATTCATCAAACAAAAGTACAACATTAGGAAAACACATCATCATAAGAATCTTGATTTACTATTTTTCAAAATCTTAAAACCACAAGACCTATCAAAACTATTCGGCTCCTCTGCATCATCATGAACGTTAGTATGATTTGAAGAAAACTAAATTGAATATTGTAGTTTTTAATTTTTCTGCAACTATCACATTAGTATTGGAAGCGAATTGATGTAAATCTGAAAAGAAAAAAAAAACACCACAAAGTCAGACAAAAGCTGCCATTTAACGAACAATAGAAAAAATACAAAATCGACCAGTATTTGATCATCGTTTAAATATAATTTTTCAGCTAAAAACACATTTTAAGTCTCACCTGCAAAGTGTACAGCAGCATATATTTTCACAACTGCAAATGTTTGTATATTTTGCTTCTGATGTGTACACTTGCCATTAGAAACATAATGACTGACTGAAAAAGCGTAACTTCGATTGAATATCTCAAAATATCATTGACATTTCTGTTCTTTCCATTGATAGATGACGCTCGATTAGTTCTATATGAAACGAGACAGAGTATAAAATGAAAGACTTTTCATTAGTCGAGATGCTTAATTAAGATATTTTCCCTGCTAAACGTTCAATAGAGATGTGTTTTGTCCATATAAATACTAAAAGTGAGTCTAAGGACATTACAAACAGGTAGCTTACAGAATGGTCGAGTTTACAAAAAAAAAGAATGCTACGTAGACAGTTTTCAAAATCAACTAGGAGATGACGCGAAGGTAGAATAATACTCAGTAAAGAAAAATGTTGTGCATCGATCGCAATCAAACATTTTCGTAATCAACGTTGGTTACGACTAACACACAGCAGTTTTCTTTGCCGGAGATTACTCTTTCTTCAACCTTCAACCAGTGTTTTGAAAAGAAGATTCTATCCCTTTTTTTTTGTCTTCAAAGTTCTAGGAATCGATGTGTGCATGTGAATGAAAAGAAGATCCACACCGATCTAAATTTCATTAACTATTTTTATTTTATTGTTTAATGTAGAACAAAATCATTCGATTTCAAAATCTCTATTAAAGAACACGCTTTTTTATCATTAGTAGTTGTATTCGTTTTGTAGAGAGACTAGAGAATAGAAAATAGAATGTGCTGGTGCTGACGTGTATAAAGATAATAAGTATTTACATCTTGAATTCATTAATCATCTATCATGATATGTCCACGATGCATTCAGATCAATGATATTCTTTCCAATTTTTGATGAAAATCGCCAATAACAAAACAAAATAAAATAAAAACTTAGGTAATGATATATACGCCTGGAAAAAAATAGTTTTAGTCCGTATTTTTAGTATATTGTCACTGTAAAAACCCATTTTTTAAAAAACTAATTACATATTCTGAAAGCGCGTGGAGTTTTCTATCAGTCTATATATTTATGTTTTGGTTTGAATTTATGCATTACGAAAATAAATGCAGTGCAATGAAGACACCCTCATGTTCAGATTCCCAACAACAAAATTTTCTCAGTATCATGAAAATTAGTTTTTAAACTTTTTTATCACTAGAACAGTACCTTTTGAAAAAACTAATTATATATTCTGATAGAGCTTAAAATTCTCTATCATCCTATATATTTTTCAATCGTCTTGACTATATCTATTCAAAAGAAAAATCAAATACATTGAACATAATCTCAATTTAGAAGGATCAAAAAATTCTCATTTGACATAGCTAAATTTTCACACAAAACTAATTATAGATTTTGATAGCGTTTGCGATCCGGTACCATTTCACATGTTTTTGCATTGTCTTCAGTCTATTATATGCAGTACATAGATCCAGTATAGAAGAAAAACATACAGGATGACAGAGCATTTTAAACTCTATCAGAACATATAATTAGTTTTTTTCAAAAGGTACTGTTCTAGTGATAAAAAAATTTAAAAACTAACTTTCATGATACTGAGAAAATTTTTTGTAGGTGAATCTGAACATCAGGGTGCCTTCATTGTACTGCATTTATTTTCATAATGCACAAATGCAAACCAAAACATAAATACATAGACTGATAGAAAACTCCACGCACTTTCAGGATATGTAATTAGTTTTAAAAAAATGGGTTTTTATAGTGACAATATACTAAAAATACGGACTAAAGCTATTTTTTTCCAGACATATATGTAAGTAAAAGTACATTTGAAAGAAAACGATATCTCTAAAGGTATTATTGGGACCAAGCTACAGAACTATGATACATAAATGTCACCTTATTGAGGTGCAGACTTAGGCCCTTAACGTGCGAGGTCCTTTTATGTTATTGTGTCATCATACTGATATGTATGGATAGACTTGAAATGTTTGAATCACATAAATAATAAGCTCCCTCTCTTTCAATACATTTATTTTATACAGACACAAATTTATATAAGTAACAAATTAAAGTAATCAAAATATATTTAATTTAATATCACGAAAGTAGTCTTTGAAATATTTTGGAAATCGAACAATTCTATCAAAACATTGATATGTCGCTTTAGAACAATTAATTTGTGTTGCGTTTCGTCTAAAATTGAGTGTTACCCTTTTTAAAGTTTTATAATTGACATAAATATCAACATCATATGGTAAAATCGTTTTGGTATCAAGTAGAAATTGTTCTACATAATCATCATGACTATCTTTAAAACGAATATATTTAAGATGAGGATAGTCAATTATTAATAGATCTTGATTGTTATTTTTCAATTTTCTACATTGTTTATCGTTTTGTGGTTTTCGATTCGTTATAGTAAAAAATTTCATAAATGGAAATGATTGAGCGATTCGAATAAAAAATTCATGTTCAAAAGGATGTTCATCAAATAATGATACTTCGCTAACACATGTAAATAATCCACCTGAAAAATTATTCGCGATATTTTCATAACTTCTTGCTGTAAATGGATATGAATAGATATGACAATAACCTTGTTTTGCTTCTAGAAAATAATTAACACAAGAAATAATTTGATTATTTGTAAAATCTTTAAATGAATGTTGAATTGAATATCTTCATTTGATAGTAAATCAATCTGATCTTTTAGAAATATACTTGAGCGAAAATCAAAGTGAAATAGATTTAATCGTAGCATATAATTAATAATATTTTGTTTTAAATCATTTCCATCAATAAATCTATCATTACAATTGACAGACAAGTACAAACTAAGTTCTTCTAAATTTGACATTCGATGTAACATTGATATAACTTCATCATAGAAATGTATTTCCGAAAGACAATATAAAGAAAAACATTGCAAATTTGGTAGTTTGGGCTAAAAAAGATAATATAGATATTGATGACGTTTAATAAAAACGTACTTTATTTATTTTAGAGACCGAACGTGAATATGGTGATGCTATATATCGACATAGAATGTTTGAAGTTGATTGAAACGACGATCAAGGAAATAAAGACAATCTTCAATATATCGTACTTTGACATCTAATTCTAATAAAGTTGATGAGAACATAGTTGGAGGTGAAATTACGAATGATATTTGTTGATGACAAATAAAATCTGGATCAAAATTTAAATATTTTAAATTAGTGAATATATCGAAGATACATGTAAATAGACGTGTATCTAGATCTGCTGATTTGTCATATTGGTTAATAGTTTCGATGACGAGTGATGAAATTTGATTTTTGAATACATGCACTAAAGTTTCATCTAAATATAAATAAAGAATTATTATAAAAAAAACTGATTTTCCTTTTCTTTTTATAAAAAAAAAAAACGATAAATTATATTTTATTGTAAATGTAAATAAGTGTAAAAAGAATTGATTTAGATGATTTGAATTGTCATTTACGTTAACATATTATTTATGAAAAGAATTGAAATAAAAATATCATACCCATTAATAGATTTAAGGCTGTCTGCTTTTCAATATTAACTAAACCAAGTCCAGTTAAATTTGGATAATTTGCAGAAAGAAGAATACGTTTCATAGTTAATGGTTCAAGATCAAGCCAATTGATTTTATGATGAATTTCAGGTAGGATTTGTAAACAAAATCGATCAAGCATTAATTTAGGTAATGGATAAATATAACCATTCGTTAAGTAACCGAATAATGTTAAACAATTAGTAAACATAGAATCATGTGCAATTTCATTAAATCGTTTATTAACACCGATGATAGAGTAAAGTAGATTAATATTGTTTAAGTTTTTGAAAATAAGAACGAGATTTTCATTGGGTAAATCATTCAATTGAATAGATGAACAGTTCATTATGACTAGGGATGTGCGGTTACAGTGCACAAACTGTGAATACCGGCACTGACGTCACCGAAGAACGGTACACTGAACACTGGGTTACACCGCAGTGATGTCACTGACACTGGCACTAAACCAACACCGAAGGTCACTGATACACTGTCGTTCACTGCAGCACCGACATTCACTGACCACTGATCACACCGAAATCGGTCTTCAGTGGAACACTGATACACTGATTCTTTCATAGTAAATCATCTTGTACGATTTTGTTTATAATTCTCAATGACAGATACAGAAATGAGCCCATAGACACTGTCTGGAAGCATCATAAAGTTGGATTATTTAATTTTTGAATAATTAACCCAACTGTTCTTAATTATTTCACTGTTAACTGTATTCTTAATTCGTAAATAGTTTTGCGAGCTCAGATTCTTCCTCATACATAATATGAAATATCGAACGAAAAGATACAGAGGGTAGTGTTGGATATCATCGATTTCATTCTTCTATTGCGCTCATTAAAGTTGAATTCGAATAATGAATCAGATGACGTTTAGAAGAATGGGTGTAAAAAAAATACAATAGAAAAAAAGATAGAAAATACTTAAAAAAATACGAGGTTATATATAAGGAAGATAGCTCAAGGAAATTCCTTCATTTGTTAACAGAATATAAGGTTAAATAAAATCAGTTATAGAAAAAGAAAAAGAAAAAGAAAAGGCATTAAACGACTATGTTGCTATTTAATCAAAAATTTTAGTGAGTTCATTTCTTAATAACGGAAGATGTCATAGTATTTATTAGGGTCTAGATGGTTTACCCTACTTCTTTATTTTAATACAGCACTGGCTAACTAAAAATGGACGCACACACATATATTTATATATATTTCACTATCCAGGGAAACATGTATATATGTATATAGTGGTGGACGACTACATGAAAGAAAAAGAAAATATAGAGGTGAAATCAGTGCCAACATGAAAACGAAGAAAGAAGAGAATAAAACAAGGGAAAGAAACGATGATGGTATATGTAAGGGCAAAGCCCTAACAGTATTAAATGCAGAGATAAAAGTCATCGACAATCAACATCATTGTGTCAGTGTTCCACTGAAGACCGATTTCGGTGTGATCAGTGGTCAGTGTATGTCGGTGCTGCAGTGAACGACAGTGTATCAGTGATCTTCGGTGTCGTTTTAGTGTCAGTGTCAGTGACATCACTGCAGTGTCACCCAGTGCTCAGTGTACCGTTCTTCGGTGATGTCAGTTATCAGTAAACCGAAACTGCACATCCCTAATTATGACCTAGATGTTTATATATTTTTCTTACGTTATGAATGTCAATAATTGTACTTGTGTGTTTATACTCGTTCGTCCGATTTCACCGATATCGTCAATAAAAACAATGATGCTTTTTTTTCTTTAGCCTAATGATGTTAATAGCAACGAATGAATGAATGAATGACATTTCTTATTCTTTCATGTTATTCATCACACTTGATGAACATTTTCTTAGTCAGTTAATTTGAAGTACGACAGATGAAGTATTATATTGAGAATGTTCTTCATGGCATATATATGTCCTATCGAAGTTATAACTTCGTCAACATTCTTGATGAAGCTATAACTTTGTCGTGCAACATTGACGAAGCTACAACTTCGTCATATACATGCAATGAAGTTGTAACTTCGATGCTCACAATTATCGAAGTTATTTCAAATCAACTGAATATCAAATAATAATTAATTATACTAAAATCAGAATTTATGTTTTTAATTAAATATTCATTTTAACACCATTCATATTGCTTTTTACGAAAACAAAAAAAGAGGGTGTGGGTGTGGCGCTGGGTGTTGAAGTTGATTAACAATTAAATACACATCCACACCAACTGCCACAGCTACAGCCATAGCCGCAGCCATACCCACCCACACCTCACATCAACCCACACTTCACATCCACCCCATACCCACCTCACACCCACCCCCCCCCCCCCCCCCCCCCCCATACCCACCCACACCCACCCCACCCCCCACACCCTCAGAAAAGAGTTTTCTGCACTGTATTTTGAAATGGATAACAGTTATTGGCTTGAGTAAAAGCATTATATGTAAATTGAAATGATGAAATTGAGAGTAAGTTAAAATGTCAATAAAAGACAAAGAGTTAAAAATTATGATAGACAATAATACTCTAACAAAAATCTTTAAAAAATAAACTAAAATACTTTAGTAGGCATAGATAGATAAGGAAATCTGTATAGCTGCGCAATTAAATACGTTATCTTATCTGCCTGTAATCGATGTAACAATAACGAAGAAAACGGCAAATAAAAAGAGAATGCTGATAATAAACTCTTAAATCGTTTTGTGTTTTGTTGGTATTTTCCAACTTATTTTTATATAAATTCAGTTTATAATACCGTTAAGGACAACAAATATGTACGTCAATTTCATATTTTTTTCCAGAAAAACTTTGGTGTGGGTGTGAGTGCGGGTAGGTGGGTGGATATGGGTGTGGGTGCGGATGTCAGTGCGGGTAGGTGGGTGGATATGGGTGTGGGTGCGG